GTAGAAGGATACATCATACTGGAAGTAGATGGGCATTCATCGAGCCTCACACATCCACCGCTTGGGTCATCCTGGATGAGGAGGACGTAGTCAGGATTGCAGAAGCATCTATCCTCATCACTGCAAGTGATGGCAAGGCATCTGGGCTCCTGAAAGCCTCATAGGCAATTAATTTTTATTTTTTTAGTCCACAATTTTTCAAGGAAACCCACATTGGTACAATCCTGAGGGCAAAGTGGCCCACATTTGGAACTGTACATATTGGCAGCGCAAACAACTGAAAAGGCAGCTTCGATTTCACCAATCTCTCATCTGATACATGGAAACGTACCGGATCCTCTCTCGCTTCCCGAACCTGAGCCAGACCATTCAATTGGTTCCGGTTCTATTGCCGAACCCTCCTCTGGTCCAGAACCTTCTTCTGGTCCCGAACCTTCTTCACCTGATCCTCCACTCGACTCTTCGGGAACTAAACGTTTATTGCAATTAACATGGTAAAGTTTGCATAATTCCATTAACCACCTACTTATGTAGCATTCTGTGGGGAATACGAAGCAGAATGGTATAAATGGGAATGGGCACAGCACAAATCCAAGACTGCAGCTATCCTCAGGGCACTGTATATCTTCACAAGAAAGAATGCCGACATTATCTTCTGGTTTATCTTAAAAAATATCCTTGTTAGGCTTTGACACAATTCATAGTTTGCTAACTCACCTCCAGCTTTGCCGTACTGGAAGTGATGAGGGTAGAAGTGGCGAGCGCCGATAGGGGCGAAAAGCGCTGAAACAAACACAAGAAACGTTCAAAGTCATGGTTAAATATCCTTTTTTTTTGGAAAAGGATAGGTTACATACATTATTGCATTTCTTTAACTTAACCCATTCGTAAGGTAAAAAATGGTAAAATGATTTGAGAGCAATCTACAGCAAAATTCACGCACAATAAAAAAACTACAGTAATTCTGCGAAAATTTCCTCTAGTGCATTGAATAGCTACAGCGATATCCAAAAAAAGTAAGTTGAGCAAAACACTAAATCAATATTTATTATCGGTAGGCTGTATACTAGCCATCACTCACCGAAAAGAATTATAAACATAAGGGTAGAACTCATCCTCGCGTTGCATTCTGTATTTCCCGATTTTTATATCGCGAAGACCAGATCACCATAATAATATTAGTTTAGTCTAGAT